CCACATGTCCATCGATGATGCTAGACGCACCAGCAGGATGAGGCTAGGTGAGAAGAACTCTATTCCATCTTCAGGGAGCCGCCGTCATCTCGCCTTCCTGATCATGATAAAAATACCCTAAACAACTCGAAGAAACCTCTGAAACCGGAGCCCTCTAGCTGGCAAGGCCCGGGATCCACCGTGCCTCCATGCTCCTAGGATCACAGGAGACGAGGCGGATCGGCGGCGGCGCCGGTGGGAGGCTCGAAAAGCCCTAGCGGAGCGCCTTTGGGTCATTGAAGTGAAGGGGTGCTTATGGTCTGGGTCATTCACATGTTTTGGTACCGCCTATTTCTTTGACCATCTGATCGGAGAGCACCTGGACACCTGCACATGCCCACCCGTTATCACTTGAAAAATATTTGGTAAATGGGAAATGCATGTTCTCAATTGAGTCAGAAGTTTGCGTGTGGTCTTCTTATAGTATATCGAGGTCACACGTCAAATTTCGTTCGATTCTGAGTATATTTGATACCCAAACAATCGAATATGTAGGCATTAGTAGCCGATTAAATAATTAATTGGATTTCTGAAAAAACCCTGCAAACAAGGCTCTATTCCCTCTCTTTTGACCTAGCCCATCTAACCTAGCTACCACATCAAAGCTTAGCCCAAAACAACCCACAAAACCTCCTACAACCATTGCCTATTTAAGCAGATGCTTCCTTGCCATTTTTGGCAGCAATTGTATACAAATCCCATCAAACTCCTCCCCCGCTGCCACTTGGCACACCCACATCGGGTGCATTGCCACCGCCAGAGCCGTTGTGGCCATGCTTGGATCCGTCGATCTAGATCGTTCATGGACGATCCAAAGGACACTAGCGCCACACGCGTCGCCACCTCCGCCTCCAGCCCGTACGAGCCCGCTCACAGCCCCAGGAGCCGACCGTGGCACAAGAGAAGAGCTCCCCAACAACAAACTGAACTCGGATATGTCACAATTTCGCCGAGTTCCTCTGGTTAAAAATTCGGTAGTGTCTTGACAAGTGGGGCCCACGAACGACCAGACGATGGAGACGTGACAACGGTCTAAGTTTTCCGGGTTTTGACTAAGAAAACTCGATGATCTTTTTGCCTTTTTTATATTATGGAATTCCAGGGCCACCTCGATGTCGAACTCCTACGAAAAAACTCGGCAAAGACCCGACAGGAGGGCCCACAGGGGACGTGGAAAATGTCTATTATACGTTTGGGCTTCTTTTGCCGAGATTCATTACTCAGCA